GGCAGGAAGTGTGCACATGCAAACACACCTCCCGAGCATACAAATATATTTTTCATATTCGTACACAGGAAGCCATGTGCTTTGCTGTTAAAACCAGCAATTTCTCTGCTGCTACTTTGCATTAAACTTGAACTTGGCCCTACATTGTAAGTGATTGTGTGTGTGTCTGAAAAGCACATGTACAAAATATTTTATGAGCAACAAGTGTTTGCGCTACAAGTGATTGAATGAGGCTGCCGGCGCGACTAAAAGCGCTATCAGCGACAGAGAGGAACCTTCGTACGGCATCAAATACAAAATCTACATTTATATACATTTGCATGTTTAAAAAAAAAAAATAAAAAACTAATGTTTGCCTTCTTACCATGCTGATATTGTGAAATGTGCGTATACTCACACGCTCGTATAGCGGACACACTGTTATTAAACTTGAGACATATTTTACGCGCTTCACTGAAATTTTTCATTCCTATAATCGAGAAAAGACTCGGAAATCTAATATAAAATCGCAATTAAAATCTGAGTAAATTTTTTAAATTTCTAATCAAAAATCTATTATAAAATGCAATTAACAAGAATAGAAATTATTTACTCGGTTCTGTTCTGTTGTTGCCACGATATTTTAATTTGAGTGCCTTAAGTTATTTCAGGAATGAATGAGTGTTGGCGACGGCGCGTGGGCAAAAGTTAAATTATATTAAATAAATAAAATTTCATTAGTATAGTCTTATATTTCTACATATATTTATATGTCTATTTGCATTATTTTGTCTGTGCATTAATAACAATAATACATGTAGGCATACTTGCATATAAATATATATGGCAATGTGCCAATTGAATTTTTTATATCATTTTCTCATACCTTTCATTTGATGGTTTGTATGCTTTAATGCATTTATTTATTCAATGATATCTATAAATGTACGTATTTACATACACCCAAATTGTCTAGAGCCCAAAAATTTCGTAAATTTTTCATGAAAGTGAATTTTTGCAATAGATAAGTAGATAAATATAAGATAAAAATTAAAAATATATATACAATTACGAAATGCAGATATACTCGAATAATATAGCCTCTTCACGTAGCAGCGAAATTCCATTTTGAATTAATTTAGAGAAGTTAAAGACTTAATTTAGGAAATAAGCGTCAAAGAGAAGTCTTTACATAAGTATATAAGCACTTTTTCTATTAAAACTAACATCCAGATTCTTATATTAATTCTTCTAATTTATTTACCATAAATTTTTTTATTTTGTTTTAATTTATAGTAAGTTTTTTTCTACTTGATTAAATTTAATTTATTTATTGTAAAACATTTCATGTATTATTTTAGTTATATAATTCATTTCATTGTTTTCACATAATTTTATTTTCTTTAAGTTAATTTCGCCTTTTTTTATTTTATTTTATTTTATTTTATATTACGTTATTTTATTTCAGTTAATATTATTATGATTTATTATTTAAATCATAAGCACTTCTAGGTTCAGATTAAAACTTCTGATTAAATTTTTATTTATATAAAGAGATCTTATCAGCTTGGAGCCAAAAATTTTTACCTAAGCACGTGCAAAATATTTTTTTTATTATTATTAGGATTATGGATTAGCATAAAATAATAGATAAATTAAACATGCTGAAATACTCTTTCCTACATAATTACAAACAGAAAATTACTATAAATAGATACACTTTTTAATGTATGTATTAATGAAATTAAATATGTACACAAGAGGTGCTATGGTCAATTGAAAGCCAGTCAGCTAAGTGGCAATGTTTTAATGCCTGAATTAGTGCAATAAACTTTATTTATTTGTTAAGTAGTGAGAGAAGAAGAGAGAGAGAAAGAGGAGTAGCGAGGATGCTAAGAAAAAATACTATCACGCGCCTTCCGATGCACATAAGTTCCCAGTACTTGCATAAGAAATTAAACAAATGCCTACGTACACACACATACCCTATGTAGTATATGTTCATGTACCTACATAATTTAAAGGTATTTATTGCGTTTAAAAGTGTACATGAAAAATTTCCATAAATAATTGCAAGTCAGCTCACGAGTGGCACTTAGATGTGAATTAGAAAAAAATTTAAAATTATTTATTATAAAAATTATTTTAGTGCTTAATAAATATTGATTGTTTATATTTTGTTTATGGTTTGGTAAAGCTGTTATCGGGTAAATATTTATTTTGAAAATTTACTCAAATTAATTATAGCAACTAATTAAATGAAATGGCTCGAAATTGCACTTAAACGCAACTACTTAAAAGATTAACAACCTAAGGTGCGAATGTGAATAGAAAATTTTAAAATTTTTAAAATGTACATGCTTTTGGGAGCAGTAGCTGTTGATATTTAAGCATGAAGCACCAATGGTAATCGAAGAATTTTGTAAGTTAAAATAATATTTTATTGCCATTTTGTGCATTTTGAGACCACCGTTTCTGCAGCTTAGCACTTTTTCTACGCTCTAATTTGTGTTTATGTAGTCATTAACATATGTAGGCGTTCTCAACACGTATATACAAATAATCATGCATAAATAGGCATGGACAAGCATAACTTTAAGAAATTTACTCAACTTAAGCATTGGCTTCATGAGGGCATTGCAATATTTCAGTATGAGTAATTAACATAGTTTCGCTGCTTCACCTTTCCAGGGCTCAGATTTCAATGCTGGTTGCTGTCTCACATACCACAATATATGTACATGCAAATGTACGAGCGTTTACTTTGCTTCAAATTTTCATTTTAGAAATGCAAGAGGTTAGAGGACTAGAACCATTTTTTGCATTAAAAGTACCAAATATTAGTTCTGAGATATCAAAAACATTTTTAAGTCAAAATTTCTAAAATTTGATTTGCAAGAAAAAAAATGCATAAATAAATAAACCGTAAATCCGTCTAGAAGTCATCATTTTAAGAGCACAATTATTTAGCAATGAAATTGTCGGTGCGTAAATTAAGGTGTGAAATTTCACTGAAAAATGCGTTAAAATTTTCATAAATTAAGCAAATAAAGAAAACGAAAATCTCGAAAAATACCATTTATACCAATGTAAAGTTCAACAAACCGGTGAACTAGAAAAAAATTCATGACTAAGAGGTTTATGGATATTTTACGACTACGATTGAGCACTCACTTGCTGTGTTTTCTGTTGTTGTTCTAGCCGTTGGTTTTGGTTTGATCACAGACTTTAAGCGAAAACTTAGCAAATAAATGCTGATTCAACTCGTACTTGAAAGTAAAGAAGTTCATTGTGCTTTATGTATATGAAACACATATACTTGACTTTTGTATATATGTGGTATGTAGTATAATTAATACATAAATCATACGATTTTTGGCCAACCTTTGCAAAGGAATTAAATTTCAAACCAAGGTCTTTAGTGAAATTTTTGGAAAACATTTAAATGTCCAAAGTACGTTCATTAGAATATAAAAACTGGTAAGTATATATACATACATATGTTTGTATGTATTTACTCTGAAGGGTTTTTGGTAGCCAGAAATGGGTATTCTTTAGAAAGATATGTGTACTTTAGCCTCTTGTTTTAGATTGCTAACCAAAATGCCAAAAAAGTATCTCAATATCATAGTTAAAGGTATTTTTTTAAATAAACGCACCTCTGCTTTTACAATACAAACGGATTTAAATAAATGACTTTTCGGTTTGGATAAAATATTTAGCTTCAAAAAATAAAATAAAAAAATAATAAAAGGGAAATAAATAAAATTAAAAATAAAACATTGTTAAATTAAATAAAATAAAGACGACATTAAATAATTAAAAATAACAATAAAATTAAATAACTGCGTATAAAACAAAACATAATAGCATAAAATAAAAAAACCAAAGAAAAAGAATAATAATAAAATAAAATACTGTAAAATAATGTAAATTAAAATAAAATAAATTAATTAAAATCCAAATAAATTTAACAAAAGTTCAAAATCAACTAAATTTAAATAAATAAAACAAAAATTTAATTAACATAAAACAAAGTAACATTGAAAAAAAAAAAACAAAATTAAATAAATTATAGGAAAATGAAATAGTACAACGTAAATTAAAATGAAACGTGTTTAACTAAGCAAAAATTTATCGATATCATTAAATAAGAAATAAAATACAATTTAAAATTAATAATTTTAATTTTATATATAAAAACATTAATAGTAAATTATATAGATAAATTAAAAAAGAATATTAAATATATAATACAATATAAATGAAGCATAATAAAATGAAATAACTTAAAAGAAATAAAAAAATAAAAACAATACATAAGAAAACGATATAAAATAAAAAATTAAAATAATTCACATATCATTAAAAATCAATGCCAAACGATCTTTTTTTCCTAAATAAAGTTTCACTTTTATATTGAATTTAAAATTGCGTCATCTCTAACTCACATGAATGAAAATTACCCACAATCAAAAAACTGGAATTGTGTTGATTTGATCGTATAATGTCATAGAGCTAATAATAAAATAATGTCACCAAATAAATAGCAAAAAGACGCTAAAACAAAACATTTAATTTTTTGTGCAAAAACAAACGAAATAATAATAACGAAAATAGTTCATTTAAGAAAAAATCGGTTTGAAGTTTTCCTTTTTTGCTTCACTCTTAATTTTTGTGCACGAAAATTTATTTAATTTTCTCTTTCTTTTTGCTAAGTGACTGAAACGAAATGTGACAGCATAAATTTAACAATTTACTAGCGGGGAAGTGTTTGGTTGACAGAAATTAAGCATACACAATTTGAGCAGACTCGTTCGTTAGCTGTGAATATATATGCGGATGTGTGTCTAAAAATTTATTATTATTTTTATTATAGTGTTCCAACATTTACTGCCTCAATAAGGAATACGGCACGCGCGACAAATTCTAGCTTTTGCCATTTGGGCATAGTTAATTCAAATATATTTGTTGGAGAAAACTAAAAGTGAGAATATTTTTTAAAATACACTCTTACATACCTTTTATGAAAGTTGCTGCAATGAATTGGAAAAGAAAACAGAAAATTAGAATTTTGTAAAAATATTAAAATAATTTTCTAATAAAAAATTATTAGTGATCTTGCTTGAAAAGTTTATCTACTGAAGAATAAAAATGGCCTTAAAATATTATTATTTGCCGCAAATGATAAAAAATTATAAAATTATATATGTCTACATTTACAGGATTTTTTTGAAAGAAAAATGACTACATCATATAGTTTAAAGTATAAATTTATGAGCAAAAATTAAGTGCACAAAATCTTCATTCCCCAAATGTTAAGTAAAATAATGATTTGAGTCCAAAAACTAAATTCGACTTTAGATAAATTAATAAAATATTGTATATTCTAAACAATGTTTTCTCTTTCAACTATATTAAAAGCAATCCATGCTATTTTAAATAGAATAAATTGTACCGTCTCAAGTAATCGCCCAGCTTTTTCCAGCAATAGGGAAATAGTCTTTCATCAGGTCAGACTACACATCGCTGATGAGTCACTAGAAGCTCCGAGAGGTTGCTTGAGAGATTACAGTCCAGCCAATGATTTGCTTTGCGAAGAATTGCTCTCAAGAGAAGAATATGAAAATCGATCGTCTCGATTTCTTGCCTTCAAAATAGCAAAAAAATTATCGCACAAAACGGTGCAAATTTGACGTAAATCGAATAGTTCCAATTGTAATATGGTAACTAAAGCCTTCAATTTAATGCAAAAATAATGGTTTATTTCTACTTTTTTAAATAATAAATGTATTTCCACTCAAACCTTGTTTACATTTACCAGATAATTTCATGAGATTAAGAAAATTGGTAATTCCACTATAGAATATCAAACAAAAAAAAAACGAGATTAAAATAGACACAGCATTCTATGGCAAATTAAAACATTTTGAATGCAGTTTAAATAAATATTTTATTCATTGAAGTTGATACACTTTTCTGTAAGAAGTTATATCAAATAATTTAGTTTTTTTAATTACTTTCAGGATATTTTTGGTGTATCCAAATATCTCTCAGTCTAGTCATTATTTCCTGATATTTTGGATGTTTTAAAGATTTAATAATTATTTAAATCAATTATTATTATTTTTTTTTAATTTTTGCATTTTTAATTGTGGCCGCGAATCAAGGTTTCTCATTTGTCATCATCACTTTTTGCTGGAGCTCAGCAGCAGACCACAGTAATAATTTGAACGCAAAATGATGAAGCAATGCCATTTTTTCCTCTAAAAAAATTTATTTTAATATAAAATACAAATGCAATATACTGAATTGGAATTGTGTTGCTGTTTATGTGTGCAAAATCATTTTTGGCAGTTGATGTTGATATTATTACCAGTGTTATTACTGTTGATGACATGCACAGCACAGTACATATAATTAGTTTTTTTTTGTTCTAAGTATCTATATGTTTTTAGCATATATTATTCGTTTTCTATAGAAAACAATTTGGATAATTTTAGCAAAATTTTGTATTTCCTTTGTTTTTATTTTCATTTTTTTTATTTTTATTTTATTTTTTTATTTTATTTATTATTTTTTTTTTTGTGCTTTAATTTTGTGTGTAAGCACACGATATAATCAGAATTGTCAGTCACTCATTTAAAAGGTGTTTAGTAGTCTTTGATTGAAACTTTTTTACTTAGTAACACTAATTTTAAATATATTTAATGTGCAACAAGAGAGAATTGCAAAAACACTAAAACGGAAAAAGATATTTGGAAAAATCACACCTTTCCCGCCATTCACAATTGTTGTCTATTGACGATTGGTCTCAACTCACAGTTCGCCATCTATTTCTCCATTACCATACGCTCTTTGCAAACTTTCGCGCACAGTGTTGCATGCATGTGCACTTAATTTGACAGTACATGATAAATGACCAGCAGCTAATTGTGCGCTTGTAACTAACAGGCGAACAGGTTGAAAATACAATTTTACTTATTGAAGAAAAAAACCAAAAAATAAAAAAACGTAAAAACATAAAAGATCAAATCATATGATCTAAGGCATACATAGTTTGCTGGGATGGCATTCGAAATGGAAATGTAATGTTTTGTTTTTAGTATGTACATATGTATACAACAATTAACGCTGGAGAAAGTAAGTAAATGTGCAATTTGTCGAAATGAAATAGAAATTAAATTAAAAGCAAAAAATATGCATATTCGAAGCGGAATTTAGTTATGCTAATGCTGATGTAGAGCGTAGGAAATCATTAAAGAAGCTACTGAAAATGGAAAACAGCTGTAAATAATTTTTACTGTTATATTATCTATGAAAATTAGAAAGTAATAGCTTTTATACAACCGTTAATGCGGGTTTCTTTAGCCTAAAATAAAATGAAAATATGCTGCGATCTTCCCTTATGAGTTTCAATTTTTTTTTCGTGGAGGTATCATTGCCTAATATTGCTTGCTAATATTTTTCAGAAACAGTTTTTATACCAAAGTATCTTTTTGTTTTTAAGAAATGATTTAGTGATTTTATACTTGAAAAAAAATAATCATTAGTCGGTTTAAAAATGCCTTTGACTTCACACTGGAACTATTTAAAAATATTGTATTTTTTCCAGAGCGATTCCATATGGAATACTCGTTTGATCTAGCTACACAAAAAGTTAGATATACATAGGTATAAAAAATTATATATAATATATAATTGGCGATTCGTTGCCGCGGAAGCGATTTAATGCCGAGCTCCTACTCAATTTAGTGGTTTTGCGTATTGATATTTATATTCCTATAAGTCGTCTCTGTGTTTATAAGAGAAAAAAGATTTAAGACTACACTAGAGGGGAATGGGCAACGCAGAACCATTAGAACTTCAAATATATAGTAATGCCAATAAAAATGGCTTATGAAGTGCGCTTAATTGGAGCTAGGTCTCAGATTACTTTACTGTTCCATCATTCTATCATATTTTAACCATTTCCAATTTGAATCTAAATTTTTTTTTTTTTTTTTAATTTTAAATCTTAAATTATTTTTATCTGATTTATTAAATTTAATTTAATGTTATATAATTAATTTACTTTAGTCTAATAAAACTAGATTCATTTCGTACCAATTCAATCTGTGATTTTTGCAGTTTTTAATCTAATCCAAGATAATCAAAGTTAAAATTTAGCATAATAAAATCGAATTCAGGATTAACTTCACATTAATTAGTATTCAAATTAGCACGTAAAAGCCATTGCGAAACGATTTCACGTGCTGAATTTCTTACTATAATCATAAATACAAATTTATTTTTGAAAACATTAAATACACAAATATTATAAGATGCATGAAATGAATTACTATTCAAAAACGTCGTGCAAGCTTTAAAAAAAAAATTTTAAATAAAATAAATTATTTAAAAATTCAAATAAACTCGAAAATCATTGCATTTTACCGCTATCAAATGGTGATCAATTAAAAACTCATTATAGCAAAAAAAATATATGCCAAATCTGTATGTAAGTAAATATATGCAAGTACATTTATTTAAATGGAGAGACATATGAAAGCAATAACAATTTGTAATAACGACGAGTATGATTTATATGAATATATTTCTTTAATCGAGAAATCGCAATCGCAACAATTATTAAAAGATAATTAAGCAGCTGTCGAAATACGCTAATGGACAGCAAAAATGAGGGAGTCGAATGTATAAAGAAATATAAAAATAAAAATTAAAAATAAAACAATAAGTAATAATGCATCAAAATTAGAAATTAAAAATAAGAAAAATAAGAAAATGTGTTGCACAAAATGAAAATTAACAAAATATAAAAATTTAAAATAAAATTTAAATTACAAAAAAAAAAAAATTATATAAAAAATTAAAGAAATTTAAAACAAAAATAAATAAAAAATTAAAATGTTCAAAATCAGAGTTTTTTAAAGCTATAAAAATTAAAAAGAATTAGCATAGCAACTATTTTGTTTGGCATGAAATGCATGGTTTTAAAACGTAACAACTTTTACCAAATCAAATGGAGTTTTTATATCTCTAAGTATCACAACATATTATATACGTATTCGATGGTCATATCTGTCACAAGGCTGTCAGTAATTTACGCTAGTGTGACGTTTTAATGATCGCATCAGTTTTTAAAAATAGTTCACACACGCACGCACATACACGCACGCACACACAGTCTTGATTTATGCCATTAACACTTAGTCAGGTATGGAGCTAATACATATGTATGATATTTTTCTTTCTTGGTATTTCACTCATGTTTGCGATCAATTTTTAACATCATGTCAACATGGCAAACGTTTAAGGCATGCAACAATGCGTCATTTGTTTTTTGCCAACTTTGAACGTCATCAATTTCCAAGTGTCAAAGTGACTATAAATAATTATTACTTTTTAATTTTATTTTAATTTGTTTTATTTTATACATCTTTTCTTCTTTTTTTATGATTTATTTAATTTTTTTTAATTGTTTGAATTTTTGATTTTTTTATATTCTGAAATTTCTTTTATTTGAAATATTTTTTTTTTTGGTTTTATATTTCTTTGATTTGTTTCGAATTATTTTAGTTGCTTTTAATGTTTTTTCATTTTCTTAGTTTGTTATATTTTTTTATATCTTTTTAAATTTTTTCTAACTTTTTTAGTTGTTTTGAATGTTTTTTCATTTTCTTAATTTGTTTTATTTTTTTACATCATTTTAACCTCTTCGTTGTTTTGAATGTTTATATTTTTTCTTAAATTTATTTTATTTAAATTTATTTTATTTAAATTTCTTTTACATTGATTTTTTTCATTTTCCTTGATTTTTTATACATCTAATATTTAATGCATTAGTGGAAAATCGTCAAGTCAGCAAATAACATAGTCAGCGTCGGGTTGGTTCGTAAATGGAAACGCATCGCTCGCAGCTGATTAATGTGCAATTCGATTTCTTGTTTCTCATTTCTCATACGTTTTCAACTGTACTCTATAGCACATTTAAATGTATGTACACCTTTTTAACATGAAACCACAAAATCATTTA